CCATTGGACTGGACGTAAACACAGTTACTCTGAATTCACATGTATCACATCATTGATTTTACACATGTCACTATAGTAAATAAATTTCTTGTCTTTTCTTATCTTATCTTATCTTATCTTATATCTTATTTTATCTTATGTTATATGTGTGTCATATGTTAAATTATCTTCGGATATATCCTGTATGATTACCTAATAATCTGTAGTATCTTCTAATTATGTGAATGTCGTTCCTAATTAAGCTATAGGTAATAGGCTATAGGTAACACAATTTGGAAAAACGTAAGGTATAAGTTAGTCACATTAGGGTGAAAGTATATCTTAATTATTGATAAGTATGCTTTTGTCAGATTAGAGGTTACTATCACCCAACTATAGATACTTTTCTATAAAGACAAAGAAGACAATGTCTCCTATAATAATGACTTAACAGAAACACTATCACCCTTTTAAGCATACCTATCAATAATTAAGATAGACTTTCATCCTAATGTGACTTACTAATACATTACGTTTTTCCAAATCAAGTTACCTATAGCCTATTACCTATAGCTTAATTAGGAACGACATTCACGAATAAAGGCGTAATTACGCCTTTTGATTCGCGTTAAAACGCCTTTATTCGCGTTATTACGCCTTTTGATTTTCGTTATGACTCCTTTTTTGCCTTGTTATGCCTTTTGATTCGCTTTATTATGCCTTTCAATTCGCGTTATATCTTCTATATTCGCGTTACTTTTCCTTTTTATTTGCGTTGATACGCCTTTTTTCGTGTTATTACACCTTTTGATTCGCGTAATTTTGCCTTTTGATTCGCGTAATAACGCCTTTATTCGCGTTAGAACGCTTTTGCATTTTTATTTTAATTCTTTGTATAAATGAATTCTGCATCTGATGGTATGAAATGTTTGGAATACCATTATTTTTTAGAACACACGATATAATCTCTATGGATTAAACAAATACAGCAACCGTCCTTTCATAATGAATTATCATAATTTTGTTTGATATAGATAGGTAATATTCATTTATAATCTTTGTTTATGGGAAAATGATAATGATAATACATGTAATAACAACAATAATCATCATCATCAACAAAATCATCATCACCATCTATTGTAGTAACAGTACATAGATCACAACAAAATTTGGTAAATTTATGCTTGCTTGTTTTGTTTGGTTGGTTTTTACGCCATTTTCACCACCTTTTTGGTGATAGCTTGGAGGTCGGTTAAACTATCTGACTTTCATACATAACTAACCAGACGAGTAATAACCAATTTCTCCACAAGCTCCTGACTTTGATGACAGACAAATGACCACAACCCTTTATGTCCGGGATCATTTGTCGTCTGGGGATCAAACAACAGACGCCTATATTTCACATCCGATACCTTCCCTAAAGAGCTAAGTTTGCGGGTGATCAAATTATGACCATATGCCTGGATTAAAAATGGCCCTCCCTGGATGTCGATTTTTTTTAAAGAAATCAACTCTTTAAATTTGAATTCATAACGCAATACTTTTTTTGATGAAAGAATTGTCGTCTTGCTCTTTGGTGTAAGAAGACCTAGATATTAAAACCTAGTGACCTTATTTCTTGTTTTCGGAGCTATAGAAATTTTGATAACACACACAATGTGACATACCATTGCATTTCGATACCAGCTGACCTAGATATATTTTCTAGTGACCTTTTTGTATTCTTATTATGCCGAATTAAATTTTGAAATCAGCTGACCTAGAATTAAATCTAGTCAATGAATTTTCATAATAAAAGCAACAACAAAAAATTTTAAACTCAATAATATATTTGATTGAAATAAAAGATTGATATTAGTTGACTTAGAATTTAAACGTGTGACCTATTGTTTTCATTTTTAGCAAAAATCTGAAATTTCTACCCATTGCACAGTTTCAGAGGGAGCCTTGACATTTGATACATTTTTATATAAATTGACTTCTTTTTAGCTCGACTATTCGATCGTTAAAGTTTTTGTAATACTTCAAATATTTTCAAAGTCCATTGACATATGGCTTTGAAACTTTGCACACTTGTTCACCATCATGACCCCAACCTGTAGACAGGTGGAGGTAACGCTCTCAAGCATTTTGACAGAATTATGCCCCTTTTTCGACTTAGAATTTACGTTAAAGTTTTTGTAATACCTAAAATATTTCCATTGACATATGGCTTTGAAACAACATGAAATTTTATACTCTTCTTTGAGAGCATAATAGGACTCTCTCCAAGGCCTATAACTGTAACATGGATTTAAAGAAAAATGTTGCCCTTTTGTTAACTTAGGAAATTTAACATTATCAAGGCTTTTGTACTATCAAGCACTAAGAACAGTCGAGCGTTGCTGTCCTACCGACAGCTCTTGTTATTTATTGTATCACCATAAATTATCATTTTCAATAATTTCAACATACCCATTTGACATGACATGTTTCTATATATAGCAGTCTAAAAAAAGCTGAGTAAAGCTATTTCTACTAATGCATAATGCAAATAAGTTATTTTATTTTAGAATATCGACTGTTATATGTGTTGACAATTTCCTAGAATTAAATGTGACTCCTTTTAAATCTTACAGATTTTTTCAATTTGTTACCATGACAATATGCACAGATTATTTATCTAAAATTTGTGTATGGTATAATCATGTCATTCTTATCAACATGCTTAAAATGCTAAAAATGGAAGGTGTCATACTTTACAGGTGTGTTTTATTTTACATGTCTTTCATTGTACTACTACGTTGCCAAGGTAACAGAACATGTGGAATATTGATCCACAAAATAGCAATTCTTCCTTTTATAATTAATTATAAATTTAGGTACACGTCAAAGTCCAATACATATTGACTATTCATAGTTTCAATTATCATAACATACCAGTTCACAAAATACACAGACTTAATTTTCGTTTACCCCACCCACATTCAGAATATCAGAATCCACATTCTTACAAAATAAAGATAACAATAAGGTTCGAATTAGTAAGCTGTGTTCAGGTCTTTGTAATATATGGTAAAAATATTCATTTTCTCCGCAATGCCTCGACTGATAGGAAAAAATGTCAGCCCTATGTCAATTTTTGATATTTTTTATGCTTTTTTAGCAGAAATTATCTTTGAAATTAAGAGCATATGAATAAATAATGGAAAAGGCTCCACTTTCATAATGTTCCAATAGAATGCGAAGTTCTTACATCACTTATACTAGTAAACAATATACAAAAGAACTAATTTTATCAGGTAAAATACATATGAGCCATTTTTCAATAATTTGGCGGCCATCTTGGCGGCTATCTTGAATTTCTCAAAATGTACCATGATTTAATATGTTAACTCAAAATTGTTGTAAACTTCAAATATGAAGCTTTACATTTGTATAACAATTATCAATGGACCTTTTTTGCACACAAAAGGTCTTCAGAGACTGTTCTAATCATCATAAACTTATCAATCTGCAAGCGCATGAGTTGACGGTTAGATGATCAATAATAATTTAATCAATATGTTGAGATTGATATAGTCGGATCTGGGACATGCTATATGTTGTTTCAGTAATAATTTTAATTCTGTTCTAGTTTCATCCATACATATGCAAACAAAACATAGATATAAAGACCATAAAGCAATATCTAGAATTCTTTACTTTATCGAGATATATTTTTGGATTTAGAAGAACAGTGCAGGTACTATTTACAAAGTAGTATTTTAAAGTACTGCCAACATATACATTATCTAAATTTCCTAATATTGAAATTAAAAGTGAAACTTGGAGTCTTTTTATACATTCTGACCGCGCACAAAGATATAAATTAACGGAGAGGAAAGCATGAATAAGTGAATATAATCACGCGTGCACGCAATGTTGTTGCGAGTCATTTAGCTGAGTTTAATGACGGTCCCGATAGCTTCATCAGTAAAAAAAACTGTCACATGTTTTCGCACTTGTACGTGAACAGTATTAAAACCCGTTTTTTTATACATAAAACACATAACAAAACGCGAAATTACCAGATTAGACATTTTATGCAAGAAAAACGCCAGTGCATCTTTTTTTTTCGTGCTCAAACATCTGCAAAATTCATTGACTGTGTGCCCGTTTATATAAAAATGCGCCGCTATTGGATCGTTATACCTGGTCCTTCTTGATAAGTTGAGAAAATGTCTTTGGTATACGTGTCTCTTGTTTCACCAACATAAATATAACCTTTGTTATAACGCTTAACATAAGTCAACTGTTCCCCTCTCTTATACGTTTAAATTCAGGCCAGAGCTCTCTTTTCGCCTTCCTAATCTCAAAGGGATAGTCACGTGAGATTCAAACCTCTAAGATTTCTGATATTGGCCATGATTTGTTCTTTGTCATAATCATCGCAAAAAGATGCCATCATGGCTCTGTAACGTCGATTACCTCCGAAATTACATGAAACCCGTTGGTTACGAATCCGGTAAGCATCGGAGATGACGACATTGGCGAGATTAAATTGAAAATAAAATATGTAAAATGACATTATCGCCTTAATCTTGTGTTATATTGTGAAAATCTATATTATATGCATAAACCTAACAATATTTTGATACATGAACAATAAATAGTCAGTGATATTCTAAGACTTTCAATCCTCCAGCACTTTTGGAATAACAATATTGTAATACTGAAACCTAGAGTCCAAGCCGAACATATTGTTATTATTATAAAAACGTTGGACGAGCTTAATGTAACAAAGCTCAACAAATTTGAGGCACTGTTAAGTTAAGAAATTCTAATATGGTACTGGTAAGGGATGCGTGCAGTGAATATTAGAATTAAAAACTAGTATATATTAATATGTTTAAATACCTATATATTCATTTTAAATTTTATGACAACACATTCTATATAACGGATATGAATGCTAGTTTTCCAAAGAACACTTTAATCTTTCCTATGGCACCATACCGGTTGTTATCTTAATGCATCTTTTTATTTCTTTTCAGGGAAATCTAACAATTACAGATCCGTAAGTTTTATTTTTAATATTCAATTGAATATACTTGAATTGTTTTTAGTGTTCACTTCCACACACAAACACTTATGCTCATTTTGTGTTCTGTCTCTTAAATGCTGTGGTATAGTGGAGTAAAGAAAACACACAACTGTTTTACAATTTAATACTACAAGCGTTCAACGTCTTCTCTAGTCAAAAACCAAATTCTAAACTACCAGACGGGGCTTTATGACCACTATATATAATGACAACATAAAATGTCGACATCATAAGTATACACTCATTATAATTGATATACATGCACGCGTTTGGAGTTATATGTAGAACTGTTATCAATCATTCTTGACATATTTTATCCATCTGGCGCAATTTTGCATTTACATTGTCATATAACATACATAAATCATTGTCATTTTACATTATGAATTAAACATATATTTGGTAAAACTGCGTCATTCATTTGAATTACATTAAATATGTATTAATTAACCTGCAATGCAACAATGCTACTCGTTTATGATGCTCCAATATCATTGGCGCTTCTTTATCATTTACACACTAATATGATATCGCTCCAATATCATTATAATATAAAGACATTAATGTCCAACAGGTGCTATGGAACTATTGTTGATCTTTTTGAGAAGCCGCACAGATTAATTTATACAGATGGAGAAGGACACTTGCAGTTAGATGGCCCTGTTTTGTCTGCACTTTCACATATAAACAAGAAAATCAGTGTTGTCGGTGTTTGCGGAATATATCGATCTGGAAAATCCTATCTAATGAATTGGATTGCAGGTGAAAAATCAGGTAGGACATCTGTGTTAATTCATTCCTGGTCTTTTATGAAAATCGTTGGCGTAAACCGTATGCAACAGTTAACTAAACTTGTCATTTAGGCAGAATAAAAGCTGTTTGATGTATATTTGAATATTTATATTATTATGTACATGTCTGAAATAAAGTTTCTTTTCTTTTCTATAATTTATCTTAACATTGCATTAAAAAGGTATTCTACAGAACACTTAGAGCTTTTAATGATTTGCCATTAAAATTGTTTTTGTTTTTGTTGTTTTATATGTTTGTTGTTGTTGCTTGTTTTTTGTTGTTGTTTTTTTTCAAGAAAGACCCCTTTCATTCTTCTCCCATGTAGTTTAGTGTACAAATTTTTCAAGATTTTGTAAAGTGTGGTAAATTTCTGTTTGGTTTCTCATCTAAAGCAATGCCAACTTTCTAAAAAATACAATTTTTATCTTTGCTATAACCGAAATAAAAAAGCACGATTGTTTTATAGAAATACACAGGATAAAAAAGAAAAAAATGCTAAACCAATGTTTTAGTTATCTGCTTAAATTGACCTGAAATAGCAAAACATTTCAATTTGATGACTGATGAGTGGAAATTTAAACGTTTTATAAATTATTTTGTCTCCGAAATATTTGAAGGACATATTGCTTTTGCCTTCGCCGTCTATCTGTCCGTCTACGTCTACATACTTTAACAGGTCAAACTCATTCGGGTTTCAACAACACTTCAAAGTACCGATCAGTACCAATCCCAGTTGTGCATATCACCGGTATTTTTGTTTCGCTACACCAAACGACATCGAGACCTTATCATATAAAGATATTGTCCTGTTTTCACAGGTCAAAATCCTAATGGGATTTCAGTGAAACATCACAGAAATGATCAGTGCCATACCTAGTTGTGCAAATCGCGGGCACGTTCTGCTTAGCTCGGCAAAAATGGCCACCAGTTCTATAAATAGAAAAATCGTGTCGGCTTTTAAACTGCTGGTTGGATTTAGAGGGAACTTCAAAGAAGTATTTAGTACCATACCTAGTTCTGCACATCACCAGCACATTCTGCTTCGCTGCACAAAATGGCCGCTTGAGCATTCTTGGGCCAAGCTGCTGGCGGGTTTAAACAAAATTCACAGTAGTGATTAGACCATACCTAATTGTGCATATCATTGGCATGTTCCGCTCGTTGGACATAAATGGCTTCCGGGGCTATATAAAGAAAATCTTAAATCTAAAACTCTAGATTATAAAAAAAGCAGTACATTGTATGGTGACTAAGGATACTTAAGATTCTCAAACAAATAGACGGCTAATGTTTTATATTTTTGGCCCTATTAGAGTTTGATAGTTTTGTTGTTTGCTGTGAACCACGGATTGTGGTAAATTTTACAAATTTACTATTTACTAACAATATAGAAATCGAAAATTCACAGGGCCGACACATCATATGTAGAATAGTTTAAACTACTTCTGATTTTCAACCATGGAACGCCATAGCTGCCTCATATTCACACTTCTAAAGTGGTGATGTCCTTTTGATAATTGGTGCTGTGATTTTGATGAATGGTGCTGTCGTTCTGACAGATGGTGCCGTGGTTTTGATAAATGGTCTTGTGGTTTTGATAAATGGTGATGTCGTTGTGACAGATGGTTCTGTCGTTTTAATAAATGGTCATGTGGTTTTAATAATTGGTGCTCTGGTGTTGTTAAACGGTCTTATGGGTTTGACAGATGGTGCTGTGGTTTTGATATATTGTGGTGGTACATTGGTACCTGGTGCAGTCATTTTATATATGGTGCTGTTGTTTTGATAAATAGTGCTATAATTTTGATAGATGATGCTGTTGTTTTGATAAAATGTAATGTTCTTTTTATAAATGGCGATACTATTTTTCTATTATGATGTTGTTCTTTTTATAAATGGTGATACTATTTTGATGTATGGTTATGTTCTTTTTATAAATAGTGATACTATTTGCTATATGGTGTTGTTCTTTTATAAATGGCGATACTATTTTGCTATATGGTGATGTTCTTTTTTATAAATGGTGATACTATTTTGCTATATGGTGATGTTCTGTTTATAAATGGTTATACTATTTTTCTATATGGTCATGTTCTTTCTATAAATGGTGATACTATTTTGCTTTATGCTGTTGTTCTTTTTATAAATGATGATACTATTTTTCGATATGGTGATACTATTTTGATGTGTGGTTCTATGATTTTTCATTACGATGATGTTGAACTATTTCAAGATGACCTGGTTGTTGACCGGAATTATTTGATAAGGGTAAAACTGTTCTTACTCCGTTATTCAAAAATTAAGACCATTTTGTCGTCTGTTGGGCTAGGATATTTAACGGAAAAAATATGAATGATAAAACAAGAGACAAAAAATTAACCAAAGAAAAATTTAATTATTTTAGGTATTACAATTGGAGACACGATACTACGGTGGCACAAAGATGACATGTGTGTTTTTATTTATCTCGTGCGCATGTCGTTGGAAATAGATTATTAAGCGGTGCGTACGAGATTCAATGTATAGACCAAGAGTAACTAAGTCGTGGGAACGAGATAATTAAATGGTGTGCACGATACACTATGTTGTGGTCACAAGTTTCTAAGTCGTGCGCATGAGATACTTTGCCGTGGGAACGAAATCGTGAAAACGAGAATTAAGCCGTGGGCACCAGATGATTAACCAATCAGATAACACTATATATATATATATACACATTTCATCCCTATGCCACCGTAGTATCCTGTCTCAAATTTATTGTTGTAACACCAAAATTAAATAAATGTTCTTCGGTTAATTGTTTTGTCTCTTGTATCCCTACTTTATTATTGATAATTGTTCCGTTAAATATCCTAACCCAACAGACGACAAATTACCTCCATTTTTAAATAATAGTGCAAGAACAATTTTACCCGAATCAAATTGTTCCTGCCAACAACCAGGTTATCTATAAATAGTTCAACATCATCGTAATGAAAAATCATAGAACCATACTTCAAAATAGTATTACCATTTATAGAAATTACATCACCATACAACAAAATAGTACTGCCAATTTTAAAAAGTACATCAACATATAGCAAAATAGTATCACCATTTATAAATAGAACAACACCAAATAGAAAAATAGTATCATCATTTAAAGAAAGAACAACACCATATGTAAAAATATTATCACCATTTATAAAAAGAACATCACCATATAGCAAAATAGAAGAACCATTATAAAAAGAACATCACCATATAGCAAAATAGTAGAACCATTACAGAAAAAGAACATCACCATATAGCAAAATAGTACCACCATTTATAAAACGAACATTACCATACATCAAAATAATATCGCCATTTCTAAAAAGAACAACACCATATAGAAAAGTAGCATCCCAATTTATAAAAAGAACAACACCATATAGCAAAATAGTATCATCATTTATAAAAATAACATCAACATATATCAAAAGAACCGCATCATCTATCAAAATTACAGCACCATTTATCAAAACAACAGCACCATATGTAAAATAACACCACCAGGTACCAAAGTACCACCATATATCAAAACGACATCACCATTTATCATTACGGGAGCACCATTTATCAAAACCACAGCAGCATCTGTCAAAACAACAAGACCATCTGTCAAACCACAGCACCATTTATTGCAACCACTTCACCATTTAATATCAAAACGACATCACCATCTATCTTAACCACAAGACCATTTATTAAAATCACAACACCATCTGACAAAAACGAAAAGACTGTATATCAAAACCACAGCACCATTTTTTAAAACCACATCACCATTTATTAAAACAACAGCACCATCTGTTACAACGACATCACCATTTATCAAAACCACCAGACCATTTTTCAAAACCACAGCACCATCTGTCAAAACGACAGCACCATGTATCCAAATCACAGTATCATTTATCAAAATGACATCACCACTTTAGAAGTGTGTTTATAAGGCAGCTATGGCGTACAATATTCAACACTAGTTGTCAGTAGGTAACCAGTATCTTTACTTTATGGTTGTTAAACATAAAGTATTTACTCATTTCCTATTCACTTTTCAGTTATACTATAACATTTGTTATAATCTAGCTGCATATTGCATTTTAATTTTCACCATGTATTCTAAAACATGAAGCTGTTTCATCAGTACAGAGAATATGTGGAGACATGAGCTTTTGTGCCCAAAAAAGGCCTTCAAATTTTCTAAGAGCAATTGTTTTTACAACTTAAATGGAAAACAAAACAAAAAGAAATAAACAAACAATAAACCAAATTATCAACCAAATGACTAATAATACTTTTTACTCTATTTAATCTATTTAGGTTTTAATCTTGGCGATACAATTCAATCAGAAACAAAAGGGATATGGATTTGGTGTAAAAAACATCCAATTAAATCGGACCAAGTATTGGTTTTGTTAGACACAGAGGGGTTAGGTGATCCCGAAAAGGTGATCTTATCTTATTGATTTTGCTTCTTTTTTCAAATATTACTTGTACCTGGGCCCAATTAAAAATATGACTATTACTTCAAAAATAATACATAATAGCTGTTAAAAGTGTTAAAATTTTAATTAACCATTAGCAGCACTTTCTTAGAATGCCTTATTTCAAGAAGCACCCATGGTGACTGACAAATATACCACCTGACATACTTTTCAATAATTTTAACATCCAAATTTAACAATCACCTTCCTAAATGTTGAGATGTCGTTTGCTTAGTATCACACACAAAACATGCCTTTTTTTCAAAATGAATCCATTTATGACAAGATTTATGACGGGATAAGGCAATTTTAATGTTCTTTTTAAAATTTTACATTAAACCTTCAGCATGTCTTTTAGCTTAACCTAAAAAAATGTTCTCACTCTGCAAACACTTTTTGAAAGTATCACAATTTTAAGCAAAGTCCTTTTCAAATTTGTCATTGAATGGAAAAAATATTGACTGGACATGACTATTAATGCACTTTTGGTATTCAAGTATAACCCTGACCTTTTGGCTGCTGAATTGGATATTGTTCACACTATTTGAACTTAAACCTTTATTTGTGTCACAATAACTAATTAAATAAACATATTTTTCCTAAGTTATTTAAGTTAAAAATTCATCGTGGAATTAAAGATTTGTTGACCAGACATGACTTTGTTTAAAATCTTATAAAAATCATTTGACTTTGGCCTTAAAGCACATGGCTTGGTTCTTGTGCGAGCGACACATCGTAAAGATGTCCATATTAATATTAGGCCATGTTGACCCGACTAGAGTGTCACTGCACTGTTATGAATAATTAAGTTCATAGGCCATTAGGGACATCTTCGGGCAAATATCGCTTTCGCACTGGTCCAAACAATAGTCAACAGAACAATTTCATATTAATCATATTTTCTATTTGAGACTCATTAAATGATCATAAAATACATCATTGTTACGTTTTGTTCTTTATGGCACATTTCGCGAATAAGATATAATTGATACCCTACCAGTTTAACAGGAGGGGACATAAGGTTTACTCTCCGTCAGTCCATTTGTCCGTCCGGCTGTCCGTCCGTCTGTCCGTGTTTCCGTCAGTCAGCCTGTCCACAAAACTGGATCCCGTAATAACGCAAAATATACTAAAAATATTTTCATGAAACTTGATATATCGATAGATGACAGTCTGGAGATTATGCATGTCTTTCTCTTTTTTTTCTATTTTGAACACTGGTTTTTATGGTAACAATTAGTCTGAAAATGTGGCAAATTTGATGCAAAAACTGGATCCTGTGAACACGCAAACAGTACTGAAAATATTTTAATGAAATAAGACCATTTGTACAGTTTCAGAAGTAAAATTGAACTTTTTAATCATCTAATCTAGATTTGGACAAATGACCTACTCCCTTGTCCTTTATGTATAGATAAGACACTTTTGACCATGTGCATAGTTTTAGATGTAATTGAACTTTGATATCAGCTGACAAAGATTTCGATGATGTGACCTATTTTCTCGTCCTTTGCTGTTATTATACTATGTCTTTTTTCTGAACATTAGACACATCTTTATATTGTATTCTATTTGAAATGCTGAAATATAACCCTGTCGCCCAAGATTACTAGACACTACTGCATTATGTCTAATGTCTATTGCATAGAAGCACCAAAAATCTACTTTTGTTCCTACTATTTTAGTAAATAATTTAGTGTTGTAGAAATGCGCTGGCAGAGCATCTTTTCATAAATGCTGTCTTGTTTTAAATTGTAGCCAATTCATATAATAAAATAATTATTATTAAGCTTTTCTATGATTGCTACTCACCGGAAGACCATGTTGATCTCAGCTAAAGCCTCGGTGCTGGTGAATATCACATCATGTTTAATGGCTCACTTATCAATAATTGTACATCAATTTGCGTTTAGATGCATTTTGTTTCGCGTTAAAATGCAATTACTTGCGTTACGAGGGATGTTTGGAACATACGTATACGACTTTTGTTAAAAATTGTCGTTTTTTTTAAATTATTATCAGTAAAACAACACTGTTAGATTATCTAGGTTTCCTTCATCATGAATGTATACTTTCGTAGAAAACAAAAAAAAACAAGAAATATATGCAAATGAAAAATTAAAACATCTTATCACCGCGTATACAACGCCTTTCCATGTTATTACACCTTTTGTATATCCTAAGAACATTTTCTTTACAGCGTTGGTTTTTGTGCTTTAAAGAACATTAATAGAACATATGAATAGTATTGACAAATATTCAAATTGTTATTTATAATATGAAAAAGATTATTTTTTACATGTATATATTCATATTATGAATAAACTTTATGAAATGATATTTCTCGTTTCAATGTTCAAAAGGGAGATCCCGATCATGACAACAAATTGTTTTGTCTGACACTTCTGATGAGCAGTACACTTATCCTAAATGTAAAGAATGTGTTCGACTTCGACACACTGGACAAGTTAGCGTATCCTTTTATTACATTTCATAATGTGAATTAAATCAAAATTATTGAATGTACTTGTTTTGAAACCTTGATGATAACGAAATTGAATAAAGGTCACTAAAGCATCTGGAAGGGCGGAAAATAGAAAATGAAAAGGAGAAATATGTACTTCTAATACATTGCAAGTGACATATATGTAAAGATTATCTATTTGTTTAAAAAAACTTGAAGCTGATGTTCCGAGTGAGTTGCATCACATGCTTATTATATAACACGAAACATTCTGGATTCTGTTTTCTCTATTTCAATACAAAATACATTATCTAGGTAAATAAGATAACTATGGCTTCCATTTCATTCCAGGTTATTGCCCCTTTTCAGCACTTTAAAAATGGATAAGGTTAATCTTAACCGGCAAGTTGGATATATCTAAAGTTTTATCTATACTAATGTATTTATATGCTCTACACGTATTTATCAATACAAAGTACATGGTATTTCTAAATTGTTTAACTGTGGCATTCCCTTTTCCCAGTTATTTCCTTTATAATCAATTGAAATTAGGGCCTTGTATGGTTGCTATTTTGGCAAGTTTCATTTGACTTAAATCTATACTGATTTCATTTGTTTAATGATATATATCTGCAACATTTGATAGTTGGATTCTTTCAAAAGTCCTCTAATTTATTTGTGAATAAGGTGACACTTAAATCAAGGTTAGGGTCATTGGTGTTATGATGATTTAAGCATTTTTGCACATACAGCCTTTACTTTTGAATTGGTGTATTCGTGCTTAATACGGACGTGCCTAGGGAGGTCCTTTTCCTTTGGGTTTAGTTTGGGGTCATTTGGGCCAAGGTCACCAATGACAAAAATGTTGTTTTCCAGATGTTACCTTTTTCTATTGACTTAAGTCTTTAATGAATGGTAGTAATATAGGTTATTGAGCTTCCCCCCCACCTAAAAAAATAAAAAAATAATTTCCAGTTATACCCCCTTTTTTTATAACCTACTTTTTTAAAATAAAAAAATTTTATCCCCCGGCGTGATTCGAACCCACACCCCTAAAAAATAAAAAAATTAATAGACACCGCACATAATGGCACCTTTAAAAAAAAAATTTTTTCTTTTTCTTTTCTGAATGAAGAATGATTTGACACGAGAAAAAAATATTTTTTTATCCCCGGCGGGACTCGGACCCACACCACCTAAAAAATAAAAAAAAATTATCCTCTAGAGGGATCCCTTGAAAACATTAAAATTTTATAAAACGAAAATTCACTAACGTTTAAATCTATACACTTAAAATACTACATTTAAATTTATAAATGCCTGTGGTTTATTAATGTACTTTATGTAAACACATTGAAACTACTGACTGCTCTTTGTGGTTAACTTTATGGTCTGATAACTTAAACATAATATCTATTTTTAATACTGTTTTCCGATAACATTACCTCCCTTTAACAAATTAAAACAATGTAAAATTCACATATACACATATACATATAAATATATATTTAAATTTTTATGTTTTATTATCATGTCTAAATAACATCTTGGTATGATGAATATGAACGAGAAATATATATTGTAAATTATGCAATTTTAAAAACCAGTTAATTTGTCGGAAGAAAAAATAAACCTATATATATATAGGTAGATTTCATATTACATTAATGTCTGAATGCCGTTCTAGTCTGGGTGTAGGCACTGTGTATGACTCTATTCGCTGCTAGGGAAGATAGTGTTCGGGAAAAGTTCGCTACCTGTAAATTCATACTTGGGTTTTGTGTGCACTGAAAAGAATTCTTTACCAAGTATGGATTTACAGAATGGTTGCCTTACCTCTGATGATCTCTGGTTTAGTTTCGAGAGGTTATCAAACGGGGTTAAAGGTGACCTAACAAGCGAAGTAATAACCCGAGCAGGATAGCTTCCAGGTGAATAGCTTAAGAAAAAGTGCCGAAGCCAACAAGTCTTAGGAC